GCAACCCTCATTGCATACTCCTACGATAAAAATAATACCCTAAAATATAATACTTTTAGACTATTCTCTCCCCCATAGACTTCAATGCCGTAAACATAGAATGAGAAAAACTGGATGAAATATGTGGTTTTGATTTGTATCTCTCTTATTGCCAATGATTTTGAGTATTTCTTTATGTATCTGTTGGCCATCTGAATGTCCTCCTCTGTGGAAGGTCTTTCCAGTCTTTTGCCCATTTTGTAATTGTGTATCAGTCTTTTTCTTTTGGAGGCTCTGTAGGATTATATAAACTTTTGATATGAGACCTTTGTCTAAAATGGTATTGTGAAAATATTTGTTCTCAGTCAGTAGCTTTTCTTTTCACTCTGTTTGAAAAAAGTTTCTTATGCACACAGGGGTTTCTTCAAAAGATCCCACTCATTGATTTATCCTCTCCAGATTGATCATTTCTAGCTGTATTTAGCAGTCTCTTTATACCACAGTCTAGACAGTTTAAGTTTGATTTCATTTTGTCTCTGATGAATTTTATGAAGAAACCATCTTTTTAAAATACTAGGTTATTTACAAAATTCAAATACATTGTTTTTCATACAAAATCATTCCTATTTCCCTCACCCCCTTACCCATCAAATTGTATGACCCCATGAGTATTCTCTTTCTACACATCCTCACTCATCTTCTTCCCTCCCCCCACCTTGGATTCTCATACACGTTTTACAGTAATGGTTTGATACAGTGTTTGTCCTTGTGGGCCCGCGTTCCTTCATTCAGCTTAATGCTCTTCAGTCTTTATCAAGTTAGGTAATAATTCTATACTGGTTTACATACAAAGTTCATCAAGTTCATATACATTGTTTTCACCCCAGACCTTTCCCCTTTCCTTTACCAATCCCTCCCTTCACCCATCAAATTGTGCGACCTCATATTTAAGCCCCCACCCCCTTGTATCCTCGTACATGCTCTACAATAATGGTCCTATACAGTATTTGTCATTATGAGACTGAGTTAGTTCACTTAGCATAATCTCCCAGTCTCTCCCATTTTAGGTAGTAATTTACATAATTATTTCTCTTGCATGCTGCGTAGTATTCCATTGTGTGAATGTACCATAATTTCTCAATCTGTTCCATTGTGGTTGGACATTTGGGCTGTTTCCATGTTTTTGCTATGGTGAATAATGCTGCTGTGAACATTGGTGTACAAGTCTCTGTTTGTGCCTCAGTCCTCATTTTCTCAGGGTTTATTCCAAGCAGTTGAATACCTGGATCATATGGAATGTCTATGTCCAGTTTTTTTAGGAAACGCTAAACTGCCTTCTGGAGTGGTTTTACCATTGTACAATCCTACCAACAACGTATAAGAGTTCATATCTCGTCAGACCCTCTCCAACATTTATTGCTTGATGCCCTGCTAAACTTTGCCACTCCTGCTGGAGTGAGATGGTATTTCATTGTGGTTTTGATTTGCATCTCTCTTATTGCCAATGATCTTGAGCATTTCTTCATATGTCTGTTGGCCATTTGAATATTTTCCTCGGTGAAAATTCTTTCCATGTCTTTTGCTCATTTTGTAATTGTGTTATCAGTCTTTTTCTAGTGGAGGCCCTGTAGCTTTCTGTAAACTGTTGTTATGAGACCTTTGTCTGAAATGGTATTGCCAAATGTTTGTTCTCAGTCAATAGGTTTTCTTTTCACCCTGTGGAAGAAAGCTTTTGGTGAGCACAGAGATTTAATCTTTAGAAGATCCCATGCTTCAATTTTATCCTCTTCAGATTGTGTATTTCTGGCTGTATTTGGCAGTCCTTTTACACCATAGAGTAGCCTTTCTAAGCTTGGTTCTAGTTCGCCTTTAATGAGCTTTATAATTTTGGGCTTAATTCTGAGATCTCTGATCCACCTTGAGCTGATTTTTTAGTATGGTGTGAGATATGGATCCTCTTTCAGCTTTTTGCAAATAGCAGTCTAGTTTGCCAGCACCATTTGTTGAAGAGGTTATCATTTCCTCATTTTAGAAGTTTTATTTCCCTGTTGAATACCAGTTGACCATAGATAGTCAGATCCATTTCTGGGTTCTTGATTTATTCCACTGATCTATGTGCCTGTCATTGTACCAGTACCATGCTATTTTGGTTACTACTGCTGTGTAGTACGTTTTGAGGTCAGGGAGTGCTATGCCTCCAACCACATTTTTATTTTTCAGAAGTACTTTGCTTATTCAGGAATCTCCTTCCTCTCCAAATAAACTTGACAATTTCCCTCTCGATCTCCTTGAAAAATGAATTTGATATCATTATTGGGATTACGTTGAACATATAGATTGTTTTTGGTAGGACTATAATTTTCACAATATTAAGCCTTCCTATCCATGAACAGGGAGGGCACTTCTCCACACCCTCCTCATTTCTTTAGGTCTTGTATTGTGTCTTGCAGAAATGTTCTGTAGTTTTCTTTGTATAGGTATTTTGTATTTTTAGTTAGGCTCACTTCTAAGTATCTCAATTTGTAGTTGGCTATTGTAAATCATATAGGCTTTCTTGGTTTCCTTCTCTGAGGTCTCTTTGTAACTATAGAGGAATCCTACTGATCTTAGAAACCATCTTTTAAAAAAAATAATTTTATTATTTTTTGTGCATTGTACCATCAAATCAGATCTGACCGGTACAGGAGGACATTGTCCCTCCTTTTCCAGCAGAGCATCTGGTGGATTCAAACCAGGCACATCTGGGATTGCAGTGCAGCTTTTTGCCACTAAGAAATCATCTTTTGAAAACTGAAGAGAAGAAACATCTGAGACAGGACTCTATGTAGTGTGCAGAGTGGACAGTCTAAGGACATTCACATATTTTTGGACTATTACTACTAGTTATATCCCCAAGGATGACACTATACTCAGTGGGTGCTATCTGTCCATTGACTGTCCACTGTGTTGTTAGATCCACAGTCTATAGGACTCCATCTTACCTAAGGATAGGAATATGTGTAGACATGATTTTGGGGTTTTATTTAATAAAATAAAGGCATACCTGAGAGAATGACATGTGTGGTAGTTCTTTACTTCACAATTGAGTATTCACCAATTGTAAGACAGTTGTATACCATCCAGTCAGAATAGATTAATCACTGACAGTCCAGTGGGATTTAAGAGGCTTTAAATTGCAAGAGAAGAGATTGCCCATCTTTCTCTTGCAGAGCAGTTTGTGGATTTAAGCCTTGTACATTAGGGTTGAGAGTGCAACTTCTTATACTAGGCCATCAGAGCTCCTTTTGGAAGTAGGCATAATCTGTAGGGAGCTGCACTACTAGTCCAGAGATGGCATTCCCAGCCAGTTCAAATCCTCCAGTGGCTCCAAAAGAGAAAGATGGATAATTTCTTCTCATGTCATTTACAATCTCCAAAAATCCATCTGGATGGTCATCTATGAGTCAGTTCTAAATCCACAGCAATGACTAAGTGATAACAATTCAAAACCTCTCCATGTCTTGAACACCACTGTCAGTCCTTGCTTACAAGGCCTATTTTCACAAATGATCTTTTATTTTTATTTTCTCTAGGTAAAGGCACTCCTTCCAAGGATCCAACTTTATCAAGTGAGTTTACTTCCTCTACTGACTACAAGGAAAGATGTTTCCTGCTACAGAATATGACTCCAGGTATCAAAACTCCCAAATGCAAGCACTCATTTACTTGTATGTCCCATGTAGAATATTGCACTATTTTATTCTTATCTGCAAAGTCTTCTCTTCTCATCCTTTTATACTGGCTGTAAATTGACTAAACCCACACTTGTAGAAGTTGCTCTGACTCTGTCATTCTTTCGCTTACAAGTTTTTCATGACTCTCCATTACTTTCTATGGTTCTATGGAGTTTCCAAATATACTGTTACATGATGGTGAGTCAGTTCTGACCCAAAGCAACCTATAGACAACGGTTCCTAACACCACCTTGTCCAGATTCATTCTACAGTCATTGTTATGTTTAAGCCCATTGTTGTAGCCACTCGGTCATGGTGTTCATCAAAGGTCTTCTTCTTCTTTTCTTTGTGACTCTACTTTTCCAAGCATGTTGTCCTTGTCCAGAAACTCATCTTTCCTAATGCCATATCCCAAATAGGTGAAATTAAGTCTCTCTCACCACCTTAATGAATATTCTGATTGTATGTTTTCGCAAGACAGAAGTTTTTGTTCTTATGGTGACTGAGGACAAAATGGGTGCCAGAAGAGACTATGAATATTGCACTAGAGTGCTGAGAAGCCAAACAAAGGGAAGAAACCAGAAAGTTAAAGAATTCAACAAAAAATTTCAAAGGACAGCTCATGAAGAGAAAGAAAAGTGGTACCAGCAGTCAGGAAATCAAAAAGTGTATCGCGATGGGAAAGTCTGCTGTTAGGGACCTCTCTAAAGTACTCAGGAGCAACAGTGTCTCTCTGGAGACTAAGGTGCGCCTGATACAGGCCATGGTATTTGCAATCGCTTGTTATGCATCAGAGAGTTGGACAATGACTAGGGAGGACAGAAGGAGAGTGGATGCTTTTGAAGTGTGGTGCTGGAGAAGGGTACTGAATGTACCATGGACTGCCAGGAAAACAAACAGATTCATCTTGGAGAGGATTAAACCAAGCTGCTCCTTGGAGGCAAAGATTCTGGGGCTTCGTCTGACATACTTTGGACATGTTGCCAGGAGGGACGGGTCCTTGGAGAGGGACATCATGCTTGGGAGTGTTGAGGGACAACGCAGGAGGGGAAGACCCTCTATGAGATGGATTGATTCGGTGACTGGGGTAATCGGGATGGGTGTGTCAGAGGCGGTGCGGTTGGCGCAGGATAGAGCAGGGTTTAGGGCTGTTGTGCATAGGGTCACTATGAGTCGGAAACGACTCGACGGCACATAACAACACAACAACATGACAAAATGTGAAAAGAGCTGGAGTCAGAAAATCGAAAGGCAAGACCTTTATGTGAAGAACAAATTCAAGCCTTGAATTGCAATACTGGAAGATACTATAGGCAAAATGTTGAATAGTCTAAGAAGCATCAGAGGAAGATGGAAAGAATACATGGAGTCATTATACCACAAAGAATTGGTTGACACAGACTCATTTCAGGAAAGCAGGATATGTTAAAAAATCAATGGTAATAAGAGAAGTTCAAGCTACTTTTAAGACATTGGCCAAAAATAAGGCCTCAGGAATTGAAGGAATACCAATTGACAAATTTCAACCAAAACATGCAACTCTGGATGTGCTTACCAGGTTGTGCCAAGAGACCTGGAGTTATCTGACCATTTGACTGGAAGAGATTTATATTTATTCCCTTTCCCTAAAACTATGATCCAACAGAATGTGGAAATTATTGAACAATATCACATGCAAGCAAAATCTTGTTGAAGATTCTTCAAAAACAATTAAAACAGTACATCAACAGAGAACTGTCAGAAATATGAGCTGGGTTTAGAAGAGGCTGTGACACTAGGGATATCATTGCTGATGTCAGATGTGTCATGAATGAGAGCAGAGAATACCAGAAGGATGTCTATTTGTGTTTTATTGACTATTCAAAGGCATTTGATTTTGTGGATCATAACAAATTGTGGTTAACACGGAGAAGAATGGGAATACCAGAACAATTGATAGTGCTCATGTGAAACCTATGCCTAGACCAAGAAGCTATTGTCCTAACAGAGCAAAGGAACAGCACATGGATTAAAATCAAGAAAGGAGAGTGTCAGGGATATATCTTTTATTCATACCTTTTCAATTTATATGCTAAACAGTTCATTTAAGAGGTTGGACTTTATGAAGAAGAATGTGACATCAGGATTGGAGGAAATCTCTTTAATAACCTGTTTTATGCAGATATCACAACTTTGCTTGCTGAAAATAAGAAGGACTTGAAGCAATTACTGCAGAGATCAAGCTTTAAATATGAATTTCATTTCAACAGCAAGAAAGCAAAAATTCTCACCACTGGGCCAAAAGACAGAATTGTGGCCAATTGAGACAAGATTGAAGTTGTTAGTGATTTAATCTTGCTCAGATCCACACTCAACACCTTTGGTACGAGCAGCCAGGAAATCAAAAGATGAGTTTCATGGGGGAAATTTGCTGTCAGAGACCTCTCCAGAATGCTAAAGAGCAACAATATCAGTCTAGAGACTAAAGTGCACTTGACTGAGGTCATGGTCTCCTCAAATGCTTGCTATGCATCTGAGAGACCTGGACAATTAATAAGGACAGAAGAAGAATTGAGAAGCATCAATGCCTTTGATTTGTGGTGCCTGACACAGAGTATTGAACATACTGTAGAATGCCAAGAGAACAAACAAGTTTGTGCGGGAAAGGGTGAAGCCAGGTTGCTCCTTGGAGGCAAAGATTTTGTGTGTACTGTCAAATCAGATCTGACAGGTACAGAAGGAGATTGCCCCTCCTTCTCCAGCAGAGCATCTGGTGGATTCGAACCATGTGCCTCTGGGATTACAGTGCAGCTTCTTGCGGAGGCAAAGATTTTGAAACTCCATCTCACATACACTTTGGGCAGGCTGCCAGGAGATGCCAGTCCTTGGAGAAGACATGATGCTTAGAAGGGTAGAAGGCCAGTACAGGAGAGTAAGACCACAAATGAGATGGATTGACAAGGACTGTGGCAATGAGGTCAGGAGTGTAAGAGAAGGTGAGGTTGACTAAGAATGGGACAAGGCTCAGAGGTGTTGTTTACAGGGTCACTATGAGTTGCAGTCAACTCAATGGCACATAAAACAACATGGTAGTTGATTTTATATTCAAGATTCTTCACTAATACTGTACAAAGACATCAATTCTACAGTCTTACTTTTTTCATCATAAAGCTTTCACATGCTTATGAAGTGATTGAGATTTTGTGATTGTTATTTTGTGCACATTAACCCTCAAAGAGACATCTTTGTTTTTTAACACTTTGAAAAGGTCTTTTGTGGATATAATCAACCTAATAACTATGTTGTTTTATTTCTTTACTGCTACTTCTATGGGTTTTAATTATGGATCCAGGTAACATGGATCTGCTCAGCTTTCCGTTAACAAGGTCAATAAAACTTTCTCAGGTTGATTGTCAAAGCTGTTCACAAGTTGATATGATTAGGAGTTCCTTATATATTTGCTCTATTCTTGTTGTTGTTGATTACCTTTGAATTGAGCATGAATCACAGCGACTCTATGAGCAAAAGGCCTGAAGCCCCTCTACAACTATCAACATTTATCAAAGTTCATAGAGTTTCCGAGGCATATTGTTTAGGAAGTGGATGCCACTCTTGCTTCCAAATTTGCTCTATTAGTAGAAATATATGATCTATTAAATTTCAAAATGCAGAAGGGCAGGGTACTATTTTTATATTAAAACTATTTTTAAAAATGAAAAAAAGTTCTACAATGTACCTAAAACTATTATTTTTTTCATCATTGATATTATTTCTTTCTTTTTTTGTTTCATTTTTTTATTTTATTAATTTTAATGAACATTTACAGAGATTTTAGATTTCCATGCATTCATTGTTGCACTAACAATTATTTTTATATAGTTTGTGCTCAGAATATATTTGCTAAAAGATTTATGAAAGCTACATGAATACGTGCAAGTTGCATACGGTTTATAAAGCAAGATATTACCTGATACATAGTAGATCCTCAAAAACTATTTATTGAATAAATAAATAAATGGTTGAATAGTTCACTACATGGGGTGAAATTGTGCAAAAGGACATCTATCTTTACCACTTCTAATTTTTTTAGAAGTAGAAAATATTTTGTTTTTAACTTGAATGATAAGTGAGAGTTTACAAATCATATTAGTTTTTTCAGAAATCATTAGAGACATTAATTACCATTAGTTGTTGCAATTAACTTTTTACAATTTTAAAGCAAACCCTTGTTGTATACCTTCACCCACTTCTCTATTTTTAGTCTCCTTTTTTCTTCCCTTCCCTCATTTTAAAGTAATAGAAAAGAAAAAAAATTCTTATTCTTAAAACATATGCCTCACAAGGTGCCATTTAAGAGACTTCTATGAGTGAAAAAGAGAACTCAGAGAAGGAAACCAAGAAAGCAATACAATTTACAATAGCCAGCCACAAATTGAGATACTTGGAAGTGAACCTAACCAGAGATACAAAAAACCCATACAAAGAAAACTACAGAACATTTCTGCAAGACACAATAGAAGACCTAAAGAAATGGAAAAAAATGTGCTCTCAATATTGAAGAGAATATTGTGAAAATGATAGTCCTACCGAAAGCAATCTACATGTTCAATTCAATCGCAATACAGATACCAAATTTGTTTTTCAAGGAGATTGGAAAGGAAATTGTCAAGTTTATTTGGAGAAGAAAGAGACCCCAAATAAGCAAAACTTTTGAGAAACAAAAATGAAGTGAAAAGCATAGCACTCCCTGACCTCAAAACCCACTACACAGCAGTAGTAACCAAAGCAGCATATTACTAGTACAATAGCAGGCACATAGACCAAAGGAACAGAATTGAGAACCCAGAAATAGATCCAGCTATCTATCGTCAACTATTATTTGACAAGGAAATAAAACCTATCAAATGGGGAAGTGATAACCACTTCAACAAATGGTGCTGGGGAAACTGGACTGCTCCCTGTAGAAAGCTGAAACAGGA